CTCGAATAAAAATTTAGGATCGCTTAACTGTGTTAGAGCTAGATGGTCATTAGTCATGATGATTACATCTGAGAAGCGCGCAATGACCTTCAAAACAGACTTGAAGTTCATCAACGGGATAAGATAAGAGAAGAACTCTAAGGAAGTTTTGAAACAGCAATAAGTGAGGACAAAGTGGAACAAAAGGAAGAGACAATACTAACACAATGTGCAGCTGACAATATGGGTCAACCTATAATATATGTTGCTAGGGAAAAAATGAAGCTAAGACCAAAATCGGAAGATTAGTGAGGAGTTTAGTTACCCATTCCAAGCAAAAGTTCCCTTAAAGAAAAATGCTGACCTCTCCTTCGGCAGCACGCACATTCTGCGTTAATTTCTCATTTTCAAGTGTTAATTCCTTTATTTTTGCCCGACTTTTCGTGATTTCCGCTTTGCACTTTTCCAACATATCTTCGTATCGACGCAGCTTTTGTTCAACCTGAGACATGATGTCGCCTTACTCCAGCGTAAGACGATAAGGATTCGAGATATTAAAGAAGGACATAATGAGGTTAAAATTGAAAGTGTAAATGCTCACTGGCGAAGAGCTTTCTCTGCTCTCTTCGATTTCACGTAGCCTCTCTCCTAACGCTTTCTTTTCATTGCGTAACTTCTCAATTCTTTCCAAAGCTTTGTCCTGAGTTTTTGCTAGCACCGTCTGGAAAACATTTTAATGCTGAGTGTGCTTCATTTTGTAAATTTTCCAAATTACCCTGCATTTGTTATTTTCCGTCACTACTTCATTGTATTTCTTCACAAGATCTCTATACTTATCTTTATACGACGTTGCACGTCCTTGTAATCTTGATAAAACATTAGAGATCTGTAAAAAAAATTGATAATGGCAAAAAAATTGAGGACAAGAAGGCTAACCTGATCCTTACTGGCCGACTTAATGACTCCAGAGCTGTACTCATCAAGAGTTTCAGTGTCAGAATCAGCAGTGTCCAGCGTAGTCCCAGCCAGACCAGGTATGGATTGAAACAATGTCGATAATGAGCTATAAATGAATGTGCTAGGAAACAAGAAATAATAATGTAAATGGTATGTATTGAAAATGATACTGTAAATGGTAAAAACTGTGAAATTAAAATCATTCTTGTATGGATGATTAACATTTTTTTCGTATGTTCGCTGGCTCTTTCTGAAAACGGAGATATGTAGAAAAAGTCATTGTTGACCCAGTTTCTTTCATTCAACAAGGATGACACCTTACAGATGTAGAACACGTCACAGGTGATACACTGGGGAAACTACCAATGACGAAATTTGGAAGCCCAGTTGAAAGATATTAAACATTAATATTGTTAACAAGATAGATTAAGATGGCTGGACTTGTAGTGAATGCAACTGCTGCTAATGAATCTGAAACATGAATTAAGAACAGAGCTAGCAATGCATCAGATCTCATGGTTAACAGCTGCTCCTGCCAGCGAATCACCCACATAATCCCATAATTATTCAATTCAGGTCAATTAAGTTAACCTTTCCGTGCTGTGAGTGGAACCACCAGAAAGCCGACGTTGCCTAGATGATAACTCTAGTCCAAGTAGATCACCTTCGGTTACTTCCTCCATTAGCGTATTACCAACCTAGAAATTTTTAGATTTGTAGATAAAACGTGGGTGGACCAGACATACCGAAAGATTAGGAGAATCTTGCACGTTATGAGGTCCAGGCGAAGGCGAAGACCCACCAACTGTATTTAAAAAACGCCGCGTTATGCTTGATCCACTTTCGCTGCCCGCATCGCTCTATGATTTTATTTGTAACCAATAATATATAAAAACTTTCCAAAAAAATGATACCGTTCCATGTCTGATTGATTCTACTTGTTGGCTAAATTGTTCGCTGTATTGCTGCACAG